GACTTACAATAAGTGCATTCGACCAAGAAGATACAAACTTGAAGAAAACAGAATCATATAAGTACATCAGGCTTCATAGAGCTAAAACATTTCAAGTGCTACTCAACTGGCTTTAGATAAGCCAGTCCTTTGTTAGTATATTAGTGCTTTGGTTTGAATCCTACTTAAAGGACAGAAACAACTTTGTTTCTATAGGTAAATACACATCTGAGTTGACAAATATGACATGTGGGGTACCTCAAGGCTCCATCTTGGGGCCTCTTCTCTTTAACGTCTACATGCTACCACTGGCTCAGATAATGAAGAACAACAAAATAAGTTACCATAGCTATGCAGATGACACACAAATGTACGTAACAATTTCACCAGGAGACTATGCTCCAATTCAAACACTGAGTAAGTGCATTGAACAAATCAATGACTGGATGTGTCAGAACTTTCTCCAATTAAACAAAGATAAAACTGAGGTAATGGTTTTTGGAGCCAAGTCAGAACGTATAAAAGTTAGCGCTGAGCTTCAGTGTGCAATGTTCAAAACAACAGATAAAGCCAGAAATCTAGGTGTAGTCATGGACTCTGACCTGAGTTTCAACAGTCACATTAAAACAGCTACTAAATCAGCCTACTATCACCTAAAGAACATATCTAGGATTAAAAGACTAATGTCACAGCAGGATTTGGAAAAACTTGTCCATGCTTTTATCTTCAGTAGACTCGACTACTGCAATGGTGTCTTCACAGGTCTCACTAAAAAATCTATTAGAAAGCTGCAGCTGATTCAGAACGCCGCTGCTCGAGTCCTCACTAACACTAAGAAAGTGGATCACATCACTCCTGTTCTGAAGTCTTTACACTGGCTTCCTGTGTGTCAAATAATAGATTTCAAAATACTGCTGCTGGTTTATAAAGCACTGAATGGTTTAGGCCCAAAATACATTTTTGACCTCCTGCTAAATTATGAACCATCCAGATCTCTCAGGTCTTCAGGGACTGGTCAGCTTTCTGTTCCCAGAGTCAGAACTAAACATGGAGAAGCAGCGTTCAGTTATTATGCTCCAAATATCTGGAACAAACTCCCAGAAACCTGCAGGTCCGCTACAACTCTGACTACTTTTAAATCCAGGCTGAAGACTTTTTTTTTTGTCGCTGCTTTTAATTGAACTATTCATATCTTAGACTGCACTGTAACTTTTATCCATGTATTTTTTCTTTTAATGTTTATTTTATTAGCTTTTCTTTTTAATGACTGATTTTAAATGCCATTTTCTTAATGTCTTTCATTTTTTGTAAAGCACTTTGAATTGCCTTGTGTTGAAAAGTGCTATATAAATAAACTTGCCTTGCCTTGCCTTGCCTTGCCTTGCCTTTGTTAGTCATTCTTTGTTAGTAATTCTATCGCTCGAAGTGGAGTCGAAAGAGATGAGTTTGCAGTCTGCACCGGAAGATGTGTAAGCTTTCTGCTGTCCTGATTTCAATGGGGAGCTCATTCCACCATTGTGGAGCCAGGATAGCAAACCCACGTGTTTTTGCTGATGGGAACTTGGGTTCCCCCTCGCAGTGCGGGTGCAGCGAGCCGTTTGGCTGATGCAGAGCGTATTGCACGAGCTGGGATGTATGGTTTAATCATGTCCTGGATGTAGGAAGGGCCAGATCCATTCACAGCATGGTACACAAGTACCATTGTCTTGAAGTGGATTCTGGCAGTTACTGGAAGCCAGTGAAGGGAGCGGAGGAGCGGCGTGGTGTGGGAACATTTAGGAAGGTTGAAGACCAGACGAGCCGCTGCATTCTGGATGAGCTGCAGAGGTCGGATGGCACATGCAGGTCGACCAGCCAGGAGGGAGTTGCAGTAGTCTAGGCGTGAGATGACGAGAGCCTGGACCAGAAGTTGCGTCACTTTCTGGGTCAGGAGGGGACGTATCCTCCTGTTGTTGTAAAGTGTGTATCTGCAGCAGCGGGTTGTAGCAGCGATGTTTGCAGTGAATGACAGGTTGTTATCTAGGATCACACCCAGATTCCTTGCAGTCTGAGTCGGGGAAACAACAGAGGGGCCGATGTTGATTGTTAGGTCAAGAGTGGGACAATCTTTTCCAGGAAGGAAAAGCAGTTCAGTCTTGTCAAGGTTGAGCTTGAGGTGGTGAGCAGACATCCACTGAGAGATGTCAGCTAGACAAGCAGAGATGCTTGCGGCGACCTGGGTCTCTGAGCGGGGAAAGGACAGAATTAACTGGGTGTCGTCAGCTTAGCAGTGGTATGAAAAACCATGCGGGCTAATGACAGATCCGAGCGAGTTTGTGTACAAGGAGAAGAGGAGGGGACCAAGAACAGAGCCCTGAGGGACCCCTGTAGATAATTGACAAGGGTCGGACTCTGACCCTCTCCAAGTTACCCTGTAGGTACGGTCTTTGAGGTAGGATGTGAGGAGGGAAAGTGCAGAGCCTGAAACTCCAAATTCTTGGAGAGTGCGAAGGAGGATCTGATGGTTCACCGTGTCGAATGTAGCAGATCCTGCCTAACTGTTGCTATAATTAGCATGCATCAAGGATACATGCTAAGTTTAGCACACAACCTGTTCTATATCAGTTAAACAGAGGACAACTTAGTCCGACACATCTATTTAGGACTCTTGCCACAGCATGCCACATCAAGACAATTAAGAATGGGATTAAGATGCTAGATACAGCTTGTTCCTATGATTCTGAAGGCAATTAGGAGCCTAATCTCTAAAGAAGTGGTGTGACTTTTTGGGAACTGCATCTATTCCCATATTATTATAAGTGAGGAATGAGCCAGGCTTGCTGTTACACTCTGCTTCCAGGCTTTTTGTTAAGCTATGCTAATCGCCTAGCAGGCTCCCAAAAATATGAAACTATGTGAAACATTGGTACAGATACTGTATGAGGATCCTTATCATTTCACTTTGCTCCTTCAAACCACTGGTCGAAGTATGGAGGAAAAGTTACAAAATGACTTCTTATCACACTTTAACATGGGTTTCCATATGTGAAAATGTGTATGAAACGTAGAGCTTTCAGTCAAACAGTGGATCTAACCTTGTTGTTTTCAATAATCCACACAGAGGAACACAGAGTCCCATGCATGACTCTTGTTTCCTTTGACATATTACTCTCCGGATGTGCAGATTTGCCGGCTATCTCCTTCTCCTCTCTTTCATCCTTTCTCCTCCCCTCCCACCTGCCCTGCTCTTTCCTGTGTCTCTTATTTGATCCTGGTCTCTGTGTTCATTTCGCAAATGTCGCCCTTGCTCTCGGCTGATATAGAAGGACGTGCTAATAAAAACTCAGCAAAGCACAGCCTCCTCACATAAGCCATGTTTCTTCCACAGGTACAATTTTGATAGATGAAAAGGTTAACTATAAAACAGTATATCCCTTTAAGCTCTGACACTGAATTACACCACAGCTCTATATGAATATAAAGTACTGCAAATTGTAAACTACCCTAACAGGGCTCTGTGCAAAATGAAGCGTTTGGTGTCATATTAAGAGGTGACATTGATTGTGATGTTTGTTATTGGACTCCCACTCACCCACAGAGAGGACATCGAAACATGTTTGTATTGGTTAAGGAGGGGAAGTTGATTTTCATAGAACTTTGTGTCTTTCTTGGAAAACCATGACGATACTGGCTATTAATGTAAGAACAAGCAACAAGTGTGTGTGTGTGTGTGTGTGTGTGTGTGTGTGTGTGTGTGTTCCTCTTTAAACCAGAGGATTAGTGGCACAGCTGGGTGTTGCCAGGTGAAAGGATCTCCCAAACTCACAGGCTGGCTCCTTCAGCTTCCTGTACCTTCAACAGATTACATTGGGGTTGCATAAACTCAGCATGCTTTAAAAGATTGTTTTGTGGATGCCACTTGTTTCTAGAATTGTGATAAACTATTGACCTTTTGCCCAGTGCGTGCTTGAATAGCAGCCAGCTCTCTGTGTGGATAGGTAGACTATTTTTCAATTTGGCAAAAGAGGGTTAAGGTGGCATGTAACTATATCTATGTGTTCTGCCACTGCCACCTTTATGACCCCCTACTCATTTGCATATTTGCTCATTACATTTCAGAACACTGTAAGTAATCAACTTGGGGACTTTCAAAACATTTCAAAATGTATGGACATTTACAAGACATATCTTTTAGGGGATGTTCTATCAAAATTAGGTAAGTTTCATGGTGATATCTATAAGTAAACTATTTACCATATTCACCTCAACCAATACTGGAAACGAAGAGAGGGCCACAGGTTTGTTTTGAATCATAGTGGTCAACAACATTAGACAATGCCTTATCTGAATTACAGAATTTAGTGCATGAGAATGGTAAATGTTACATTTATTTATCAGAGACTTATGTTCCGCATGTATACAGTGTGTTGAAGGATCGTGCCAGAAGTGATGATGCATTCCATGATGGCTTTACTGTACATGTAATAAATGAAAGGATGTTTATAGTTTCATTGATCATGGTTATACAACTTCTGTACGAAAGTGTGATGAATGGAGTTGTTCCTGTTGCTAGGCTGTGCCAAGTCTCTACAAGCTCTATACCTGACTGGCAAGGGACCACAGTGCCTTTTAAAGTCGTACACTTTTACATAGTAAAGACATTGCAATTTAACATAGCACTCTTTTTTTTTTATTATGCTTTGGATCATGGTGTGGTTTTGAATAAAGGCGATTGGTAAAATGAGCGATGTAAATTCCTTGAATCATGAAACCCAAGAGTTGCTCATTTCATTGAGGACATATTAGCCTGCTTTAAGCGAACGCTACTGCCTTGCTAACAGATCTGTACTTAGGCACAGTGGTGAAGTTAGGAAAATGCTAATGTCAGCAGCATGCATTATAAGGATTCTAACATTCTTAAAGGTGGGGTAGGTAAGTTTGAGAAACTGGCTCGAGATACACTTTATTATATTCCATGGAATGCTCTTAACATCCTGATAGCAATGAATATCTTAAGTGCTTTGACAAAAAATCGTTTCCCATTTTCTTTTCACAAATATTTTTATGATTTTTCTTGTTCAACACAGAATTCCCACAGATGTGCCCGAAACAGTATCACAATGCAGTGCATTTTCATTTTATTTTAGCGTGCTATGTAGCATTCAAGCGTATGTTTGCAGGTTCCTATATTCCGCAGTTAAATGTCCTCTTAAGACAAATGACTGAGAAACATCTACAGTATGTTCTCATCCTTGCTTTTTTCCCTACAGCAAATGTCCAAATGTTCCAAATACATCTTAAGGCCTTTGATCCACAACTTCAAACAGGTGCCTCAAATGTGCAGGATAGACTGTTTCCCTGACTTCAGACTGGTATTACCAAAGGGGCTTAATCCATTTCAACAATTAGAATCACATTTGAATAACCATTCCCTTACAGTGAGGACCCTGGGAACTACAGGTATCTGGTCAAAAAAACTAAATAATGGACAAATAGAAATGTTGACATGGATGACGCCAAATGAAAGGATTAGGAATCACTTAAGCAATGAATCCTGAATGGTAAATGAATGTGTGTACAGATCTATCCAATAGATGACGAGACTTTTCACTCAAAGATACTGAACATTGGCGGCTGGTGCATCTTTTTCCAGGTGGGACTATACCAAAACTGCACCTATTTTCTGTACATAAATTTTGCCCTTGAGGGACGCAAATTTGTCCACGACTCTGTGGTTGAAGTCAGGCATGTCTTTCACAAGTTTTCTCTCCATAGAAAGCATGGCCAAGGCATTGAGACGATCCTGGGACATTGTGTTCCTGAGGAAGGTCTTGATTCTCTTCAGCGTTGAGAAGCACCTCTCAGATTCATCTGTGGTCATGGGAGTGGTGATCTGGATCTTCAGCAGTGCCACAGTCTCCGAAAAGGTGTCCTGAAGATTGTTCTGCATGAAGAGCTGGTACAGAGCCACAGCACCCCTGCAGTTCTTAAACTCATCGTTGCTGTAGATGAGTGACAGTTCGTTTTTCAGCTTGCTCTGGTTCAGCAGTGGGTAAGCCTCCATCGTGGTGTCCAGTGCTTCTTCAGGAAAATGGCAGTTGTACTGCTGGAATTTGTCTCCCTGCAGCAGTGTAGCACTGATCAGGTGCTTGGTGAAGGAGAACCGCTGTTTGGTATGGCCCAAGATAGTGTCACAAACCTAAAAAATGAAAGCACCAAATTAGTACAATATGGAAATGTCAATATTACAATATCAAGTTGTACCATATCAAAATATAATCTGTAAAAACTATTTGATCATTGCATACATTTGATAGGAACCATGCAAATGACCATAGAGTCACTCTAAAAGTTAGGTCACCTTAGCTGTAAATACTGGTAGATTCAGGATTTATATATCTTATAGTAAACTATGTACAAGATTGCTAAGTATCAGGGGCGGTTCTAGGGGGGGGGGGGGCAGTGCCCCTTAACACTGACTTTGGACCCCCCTGAAAATGAAAAGTGTATGATTAAACGATTTCTTGGCTGACGGAATAGGCGGAACTAACGTTATTTGTCATTCTAGTCGGACCCATTAGAGCGTAAAAACTGTAACTATAAGTATCTGAAATAAATATGTGTACCAATAACTGTATTGCATTGTTTTCTTATGCGCAATTACTTCATACTGTCTTTGTCTTTTTCATCCTGCATTTATTGTGCCCCTCTCAGAAAAGAATTGGCCCCAGCCCGGCCCCCCCCCAGTGAAATTGGTATAGAACCACCACTGGTAGGTATATATAGTTTTTACCTAACTGAGATTTGTACAAAAGACTAATTAAAGGAAAAACCTGAATAAAAGAGTGGAGAAGCATATCAAATGCAGAAGCTTCTGAGCACCAGGGCTAACTAAATAGTTTGACGAGTGTGATAATGATGTGAATAAAATGCTATGGCCGTTAGTTGCTGATGTTTTGTATACTGTGAGTGTATTGTATTATTTAAACTGACATGACAAAGATTGCAATTAAATTCAACTTGCAATTGATTAAGTGATGTCTGTGACTGTCTCTTAGGCTGCATGTCATTTTGTCACATCATGTTTGTTTTTCATTCTAACTGTTGGACTCAGTTAAATAATTTATGAAAGGGGACACTTCATTTGTCCCACCTCTACAGTTTCATCTTGCATTAGTAAGTTAGAAAATGTATAGAAAGGACCTACTTTAAGGTGCGTAATGTCTTTTCTGCACAATGCAGCACTAATACAATTGAAAACATTGTAAAAGACCACACATTTAGCTTCTATCTCACCTCTGTAGCGAGCATCTGAAGTTCACCTGGGCCCAGTGTGCGTCGTTTCTTGCCCAGCTGCTGCTGAGATGCACAGCTGCTGTGTTCTCCACAGAAAGTAGGGAGGGAATCTCTGAAGAGGAAAGGTATAGATTTAGTTGACAGGTAAACAAATTGAAATTGTACATAATAATCTTACATACAACATACATATGAATTTACCTGATCTTTTTAACGTTGTCGGTGAACTCCTGCATGATTCCCTGAACAAAGACTGAGTTGACGGTCCGCTTCTGGAGCTGGTTGTAGAGAACATCCACATGTGGCATGATGCGATGGAACAGTTCCAGGAAGAAACGGAAGGTATCATCCTCCAGTATTCTCACAAAGCCTCCAGCTTCTCTCGTAGTGTTAGGATCAAACTCGCCGGAGTCCCTGATGGTTTCAAAACACTGGAGGAGGTCATCTTTGTGCTCAAACACAGTCTTCACAGTACAGCTGTGGAAGTTCCATCTCACCGTGCATGCTCTTGGGAGTCTGTGGGCCACCACTTTATCGAGCACGTTGGTTCTCTTGGGAGATCTAGCAAAGAAACCAGAGATTCCACCCAGGTCAGAGAAGAACTGTCTCACTCTGGTGATGTGAGATGTCACCTGCTGCATGATGAGGTTTAGTTGGTGAGCATAGCAGTGGACATAGTGTGCATTCACATAGACGTCTTGAACCTTCTTCTGTACACCACCTGTGGTTCCTCTCATGACACTTGCACCATCATATGCCTGGGAAATGAGCTTGCTCTTCTGGTCATCAGGGAGAATGGAGCTCAACCTATCCAGAAGCGCAGTGGCGATGGAATCAGCTGTGGCACTCTGGTGAGATATAAACTCAAAAAACCTCTCTTGCACATCATGGGCTTTGTCAATGTAACGGATCACAAGGACGAGTTGACACTGAGTGGAAATGTCCATTGTTTCATCAACCTGGATGGCTACAAAGTCTGCACTCCTGATTTCTTCCAAAATGCACTCTCTCAAAACTGATAGCATACAGTCAAGGAGCTCATTTTGTATTGTCTTAGATGTTCCCTTAAACACAGTGGCAGTCTGCAGATGCTCTTTTAGAACCACATCCAGTGATGCAACAAAATCCACCAACCCTCTAAAAATATCAGGATTTTCTGAGCTTTCACTCTCGTCATGTCCACGCAGGGCAAGCTCAAAGGCACCACAGAACTTGACACAGTCTATTATTTTAGAAAGGATGTGCCGGTTTTTGTCCACCTCCTCGTTATGCTTACGGATGCCTATCCTGTAGTCTTCGTCGAGTTGGACAGCTATGTTTACTCTTCCAAACATGGCTAGTTGCATAGCATTTTCCATGTGGACTTTACTTTGTTCATGCTTTTTTGCTTTCTCTGATAGGTGTTTTAAGTCATTAACACCTTTCTGAGTCCATGCTAGGTCTGATCTAGAAGTCCGGAAAAGGAGGCAGGGGAAGCAAAATAAAGTGTTGGTGTCGCTACAGCCAGTTAGCCAAGCCTTTTTGCTAAACCAGCTCCTTGAGAAACAGCGATGAAAATGCTTACGTCTGTCCTTTGACTCCTGCCTAATGGCGATGTCGGGCCAATCAGGACCAAGCTTTTTTACTCTCAGCTTTTCCTCCAGTGTCCTCCCCTCAAAAGGGGTTTCTTTGAGTGATTTAACTGAATTTTCCTTCTCAATATTGATCGCCATTGAAGTTCCGAGAGACGGGAGTCCGAGGCAGTGTGTAAAAATACAAAGCTGGTCTTTTATTCAACATGGAACAGCATGTAAACAAACTCAAGCCCGGGGAAACTGATTGACCGGAAAACGGAAGTTCCTGTAAACTAAAATGTCCGTGCGGAACCCATAGTTCCGTGAGTGAATGATGTCAACCCACCACATTATTTTGTTTTTGCTTACACTCCTGCCCTAAATGTATAAACGCTGTGATTATACATTTTACTGACACCAACTATATAATATGTACCTTGTTAATAATAAAAAAAAGTATAAAATGAATACAAATGTAAGTATTTTTTTTATGACAATCTAGAATGTGGGAAACTTTTGAACCAATCAGTCTGGCCTAGATTCTGAAATATACTTACTTTTTCCCTAAAGGGGGGGGGGGGGGGGACGGGACTGTCTAAAATGACTTGTTTTTTTTGCATCTTGTTTCAGTTCTACCACAACCACAGTCGATTTGAAAAGGCACATACAATGATTAGAATCTATAGCAACCACCCTTTGCTGTGAGGTGCTGTAGCAGGGGTTAAATTGGGCCGGGGCTGTCCGGGGCTCAGCCCGGCACATAGGACGATGCTCTGACGTCATCACCCTCGCTAATTTGTCATTTGTTTAAGCCATACGTTAAAACATCTCTCGTTGTTAATATATACTTTATTTAGGGTCGATATGTGTTGACTTTACTTTAAATTAGCAGATCTCTGTGACAGGATATCGTTTTTCCGCTTATTGAACGTGTGTCTCTGCTCCGATCAGGAGCTGCAGCACTGCGGCTCCTTCGTGCAGAGTCTGCAGCGGTGTGTGAACATAACCAATAACAAATCAATGTAACTTATTTTATTGTTGGTGTTCATTCATATCTTATTATTTTAACATTTATTTATGCATATTTTTGCATCTCTCAGGTTTTAAACGATATTTTTTGGTTTACTGTCCTATAGTATACATTGAAATGATTTCAAACCTGTTCATCCCAATAACTATAAAGGAGTGCCTTGGAAATATTTGTTTACATAAATTGCATTTATCTCTCGCTCCCACGCCCACTTTATCTGTGAGCTGCGGGCGCCTGATAAGCCAACACCCCTGCACTTTCATCACTTACAGTGCCCATCGTACAGGGCAAATGAAAAGTGTAACTGGGGTGAAAAGGGTATTACATTTACTTAATTATGAATGTTTTTACATCAAGGCCGAAAATTAGGATGAGCGCAAACAGTCAAAAATGTTTTTTTCCCTCCCAGAGCTGCCACCGCAGCGATCTGTCGCCTATGCCAAAAACCGGCCCTGTACACCATGCTAAATGTATGTCTGCATAAAGCTGAGTTATGATCGGTCATAATAACACAGAATTTGGTGATGATTAAATAGTTTACAGTGAGATTTACTCCCATACTTTTGGCCATACTCACGCAGCCCTACAAATGAATTGAGATTTCCAGACAAATGTTCTTTAGCAAGTGTGCAGAGCAGTGTTGATTTAAAATAGCAATTTGAAGGTTGGATATTTGTAAACCTTTTTCACTGTGGTTTTCCAGAATACTTACAGCCTGTAAGTATTCTGGAAAACCACAGTGACTGTGTAGTGATATCTGTTTCCAGCACATGATAGTCTTTGACTTATTGATAAGCAACAAAGTCCAGCCTGTTGTTGTTTTAGACTGCATTGAAGCACTTTGCAATGACTGCTGAATCAATGTTGAGGGATAAACCTTGCTCTTAAAGCCTGAAGCATTGTTGTAATTGTAAAAAAAACTGAGCGGCCATTTAGTGGCTGGTGTCAATCCACTTATCAGAGGCTTCAGCGTCATGGTTTTGAAATGCAGATTTCTGGTGGGAAAAGCAAAGAACACGTGAGAGTGGTTGTACACTCATTGATAAGGGCCCTTCACCTTTCCCTGATCCCTCTCTCTCTCTTTTATTTACTCTCAATCATGTGCTCCCTGCCCCCTTCTCTCCCAGCAAACAAACACAGATGCCTGAACTCAGGTTTCTCCTTAGGTTTCAGGTGGGAGGGAGCCGAGGACATGGGTGGAGTGGCTGGAGGAGGGCCTTAAGTGGTTACACTCTAGCGGTCGACTAAAGGAGAGCTCTTCTCTCGATCACCTGACCGCACTCCAGCAGCATTAAAGTTTCACGGCCACACTGCAGGAATGTGGCCAGTGCTTCGTCAGGCCTCTTTTCCTTTGGACTATAAACTAGAGACTGAGGGAAAACAAGCTGAAGCAATGTACTCAGGACAATATTAGGGTCAAATCCAGAAATTGTCTGGAGTTTACATTTCACTCATTTAATGACATTGTCCGAAAGGCTCTCAACTACTGGAAAAGCTCAGTGTGTTTTAGGTCAGGGGGTGCATCATGGTAGTGTGAAGGAGGACAGATATCACGGTTATCTTGTCGTTCCTTGAATTGGTCTGATGACCTAGCCCTCAGCCTTTAGGAACAGTTCACATTTTTCCCTGCATCTTTGGGAAAATGACCCTTCTTTAGCTTTGGCTGTTGGTTTTCTTGAGTTTTCCCACTAGCCTTGAAACAGAAACAATGGTTTAGCAATAATTCTCCAGACAATGAGCTTCTCTATTCACACGAGTTCAAAGTAGGATGTATTGGAGCGGGCAGGGTAAAGTAAAGCTAAAATGTCCAGTGACAATGATTTGGATCATTTGGGTTCTCACAGCTCCTATTGGTAATATTAGTTCAGGGTTCCTGTGCATGTTTGATATGAGCTTGAGAGATATGCAAGATTGAGATCAACATCTTGAATAAAAAAAGGTTATGAGGAAGAAGTGTTGGGGGGGGCAGGATGAGAGGCAGGCCCATGGAGCAGATAAGATGAGCTGGACAATACAGCCATTGTCATGTGATCACAGTGGGATGCAATTCCCACACAGATCAGGGTGTATGCACAGCAGGGTTAGGGGGAGGGGGGGGGAGCAACAGGTGAATTCCAGCAGCCTGTCTTTCACATATAGCGAGGGCCTTTGATGGCAAAGCCCCCGAACCAGGTGAAGGAGGCCTGGCTCACCACCTTTTAATTATTCATCCCTCTCAAGACAATAAAGGTTTTACTCATATCCTCTTTGTGTAGTGATATGTACTGTTGATGTATACAGCCAGCTGACTGTATAGAAATGTACATGACTGACATTTGAAATAAGCTGTTGTGCAAACTGATACATTTGTTTCAAGTCATAAAATACTGCTTTTAATGATAATGTGTGCCCAATTGTTCCAGCAAAAGGGGCCACCACCCTTTAAAAAAAAAAATAATAAAGTTTCAAATATAACGTGTTTAACAAACGGTCTCATACTGAAGTCTGTTCTCAGCGTTTACACAGGAGGCTCACAACCCTAGAGATTTAGGTTGAAAACTGGCTACAACTGTTTTTCAAGCTTTTTAAAAAGGGAGGAGGGTTGTGATCCGAGCCAATCTATTTCTGTGAACATGGGCAAGTTAGCCATTGTAAGGTGACCTTGTTTGAATAATCAGAGGCCTACCATATAACATGTCCTATACAAAAAGGAACACCTTGGTCTGAAGGGAGGCATTAGCAAAGTAAACAAAGTTGAAAAGCAAGTTAGGGCTCATCTTTCAAGATTAAACCCGATATAGCTACACCTCAAAGCCATTAAGAAATTAAAGGGCTAAAGTGTTTTTAATGACTAGACAAAACAAAACAAATAAAGTTGTTCCTCATCAGCACTGAGACATTACAGCCTACTCAGATTAGGTTTTATAAAAGTACAAATCAATCTGGATAATCCCCATGTGCAACTGATACACTTCAGCTTTAGTGCCTATTCTGTGTCAGAAGTCTGTTTAAAGTTTAATGGCTCGGAACATTTACTTTCCACACATGTAGGGAGATTAACTCAATTCGATTTGCCATAAAAAAGAAATACCCACAGCACAGGAATAAACAGAGTAATCTGGTCACTAACAATTCAAAGGTTTATTGGATTTACAAAATTGAAGATTCTAAAACATTTATCATACACATTTCCCAGAATTTGCTAAACAAAAGTTTACAATCTCTTTAGGGCCATCGGATCATAAACACGACTTATTAAAGAGCACAGTGATACAAACTTCCCAATCCCCTTATTTCCCAAAAAAGGGGATTTCTTGATACGGTCCCAACCAACAGCAGAACATGACACCAAGAGCAGCAGGGCGCGTCCTCGGTTGGTGCGTAAAGGTAACGGAGAGTCAAACAAACTCCAACGATGACAGAAAAAAAGTGTTTGGTAGAATCCAAAGGGGGCCTGTTCTTGGGAGACCGTTGAATGCCCAGTCCAGCAGACTTGGCAGTGTGAAGAGCGACATCAGTTCGGTTTAGGACCTCCCGAAGAGGAGGGAAGCGGCCATAGCCAGCGGCAGCAGCAGCGTGGAGGCGGCGGTCCACCCGCAGCCGCTTTTGAGTGTCGTGTTCACGCCGATGGTGGTGGGCACCATGGTGGTGGGCAACATGGTAGTATAGTTTCCCATAGTCGTGTTAACCGTGGAGTTCTGGGCCTGCACCACCTTCAAACAATAAGATCACGTCAGATACTTTCTTAACTTAGGCTACATTGAGGCAGATCAAAAGCACAAGGCATGGTCTGTATTCGCAAAGACGCCAAAAAGGAGCAATACAACTTTTAAATACACACATGGTTAAAAAGGTGACCATGCTTTGCGGATAAAGCTCATGATTTTAAATTCAAGCATGAAATGCCATTAAGCATAACACGTATCCTCCAGTTTAAAAAAAACCAACGGATTCGTTTAAATTAAAGGTTACTATTTCCACTAGAATCGGCCTATTCCCTGAAGTGTTGCGCTCATCATACAAGATAAACGTTAACAAAAAAAAGCACCAAGTGAGAGCTTGCCAAGACGTCGAAGAAGAGACTGATGTTGTTCACAATTTGTTCATTTCAGTGCAGAAGAGTTTTAGAAAACTAAAGTAGGCTAATATCACGTTGAAATTCAGAACAAAAAATAAATGAGGAGCAAAACTAACCTGTGTTGAGATGAGATGGAGAGCCAGCAGGAGAGCTCCGAGGAAAGCTAGACACATCTTGTTCATCTTGCTGCGGAGTGTGAGTGAAGTCTGGCTCGCGAATCGGGTGGGGTCCTTTGGAAGGTGAAGGGATGAGTGAAAGAGGAGATGCAGCCGCGCGATTTATACCCCCGGTGACGTCATTGACCACTCAATACCACCTGCTGCAGACGAGGCCGTGCTGCATTCAGGTGCTGTCGAAAATATGTTAAGCGTCAAGCACAGACGTGTATACAACTCTGAAATAAAACAAATTGATAATGGCTGATTTATTTGGTGATTTCTTCGAATTGAGAAAGACTGCTGTTTGTCAGCATACTTTCAAAGTTGTGGTGACATTTTCAAAAATAAAATAACCGTCCACCAGTATTAATAGCATAAGTATTTGTAATAGTAGGAATAAGTGTCGTTTTCTTAGTAAGACTATAGAGTTTTAGTTTTTAATTGTAACCACTGGATGGCAGTGAAAGCTCGCCAGCACTCTCAAGATTGCAATCTTGTGCACTTCCGGTAAAACATACTTTCAAAGTAAAACAACTCAAACGGATCAGTATAATGACAGTATCGATAAGCCCAAGTGCAGTAACGGGAACTATTCCTATAATATACATTTGAAGGTGTAGTTTCCTGCATAGGAACACATTTAAACCATTCCATATTGTTTATTCAATTCCAGCGACCGACTGTCCAACTTGAGTTTTAAATGCGATTGATTTATATTGATCCTACTGGCTTTCCGTAGTTGTCCTTGCCTTAATTTCTTCCGGAAGAAACACAGCATTGGACGAAGAACAGAATATGACAACACGATAAATGCGTACAGTAAATTGTCACAACAACACTTGTTATTAATTGTCTTTTTGCTTGGCTACAGAGCTACCTCACCTCTCCATGCTGCTGTGCCGGGTTTCGGCAGTAAGCCAGACACTATCGAGATGGGGACGGAGGTCACACCGGGGAGGCGGCCTCCTGCACCGGGCTCTCTCCTTCAGCTCCAGCCGCTGTCAGGCTGTCAGTCCGGGGGAGAGCAGCCCTCAGCCCGCAGAGACAGGCTCTCCACAGGGACTGTACCGAGACACAGTGCTCCTTCCCCGGACTGACTTCCCAATGAAACTGACCGGACAGAAGCTGCTGAACAGAGAGCTCCAGATTCAGCAGGTACAACGAACCATTTAGGCTGACCCTCTACTAAAAAAAGTCCCCAAATCCTCTACACTACTTAGGGTTCACTACTATCCCTCTCTATATACGTGTGGATGCATGCATTTGACTCATTGTTTGGTGCTCTTACAGGTAGTGCCCTTTGAATTATGCTTATTTTTTTTCACGTGAAATATGAACACTACACTTTTGCAGGAGTGTGGATTTGCAGATTTGTACTCCTGGCAAAGAGAGAGGAAGGCCAAGAAGGAGTTCTGCCTACATGATGGACCCCCATATGCCAATGGAGACCCTCATGTAGGACATGCCCTCAATAAGGTGATAACTCATATCATGTTTGACTTATTTCACACTGTAATGCTGCACAATATATAATTACTAGTTGCTGTTGTTACAGCTTTCAGGTGGCAATGACTCAAACACTGCCAAAGTAATAATTAATTTCACTGTCTTGTTTGTGTCCAGATCCTGAAAGATATCCGAAACCGTTTTGAGATGCTGAGGGGGCGTCAGGTCCACTACATCCCAGGGTGGGACTGCCATGGCCTGCCCATCGAGCTGAAGGCTCTGGGGGAGTTGGGGACCAGCGGCCTGGGCCCCCTGGAGATCAGACAGAAAGGTAAAGACGGACAGAAAGCCGGATGACTGTTGTTGGGTCTGCAGCTGCTGTAATGTTTCTATCCTCCCTAGCACGAGAGTTTGCGGAGGGGGCCATAGCTCGTCAGAAGGCTGCTTTTCAGCGCTGGGGGGTGATGGCTGACTGGGACCAATGCTACTACACGTATGATGGGGTCTATGAGGCTGCTCAGCTGAAGGTCTTCCAGGAGATGCACAGCAAGGTGGGCAGAAACTGTCAAAACCAACAGGGAAATACTGTGTGATGTTTCAATTGTTCTCATCTCAGTCTAATTATTTTCCCTTTGTCGATCTTCAGGGTTTCATCTACCAAGACTACAAACCGGTCTTCTGGTCTCCTTCAACAAGGTACTGAGTTAGTGTGCATGTGTAGAAGAGGCCGTGTGCCTTCTTTTTTAAATCCAAACACGATATCTGATTCTGTAACCCGGTCTACCTGCCTCTCTAGAACGGCCCTGGCAGAGGCAGAGCTGGAGTACAACCCTGAGCATGTGAGCAGATCCATCTATACCACGTTCCCCCTGAGCACACTGCCACCTGGGATAGCCTCAGAAGGTAATACACACACACACACACACACACACACACACACACACACACACACACACACACACACACACACACACACACACACACACACACACACACACACACACACACACACACACACACACACACACACACACACACACACACACACACACATGCAGGTAGTTCTGCCTTTTCAAGATATTATTCTTCTGACTCGGTAAGAACTCTCTTGACCATGTGGAATTTCTGTTTTCCCGCAGGATTGGAAAGTGTTTCTGTGTTGGTGTGGACCACCCAGCCTTGGACCATTCCTGCCAATCAAGCCGTGTGCTACATGCCCAACGCCAAGTAAGCTCCAACACCTCTAAAGAACTGACCAGTCTCACTCTTCTCCTTTCGCTCAGTTTGTAGTTGGTTGCACTGTCTTTCTGAGTTACTGCAACTAGCAATTATTCATTTTTTTAACTTATTTTTCTTTGTACATTGGTTGATATAACTGCTTAGTCATGAAATCACACCACCCTTACTAAAGTGCCTTGTTTTCTGTGTGCAGGTACTCTGTGGTGAAGAGGGCGGACACCTCTCAGCTGCTGCTGGTGGCCTCAGAGTGCTCAGCCAGCGTGGCAGCACTGCTGGAGACAGAGCTGGAGAGTGTAGGCACCTTCACAGGTAGTGCTGACACACACACACACACACACACACACACACACACACACACACACACACACACACACACACACACACACACACACACACACACACACACACACACACACTAACATGCACAAAGAGAACTGCTGATTTTCTTTATCATTTTGTTTTAAGGCTCTCAGCTTGAGGGTGGGATCTGCAAACATCCCACAATTCCTGACAAGGAAGTGCCACTCCTGCCTGCCAATCATGTGACCATGGCCAAAGGAACCGGATTGGTCCACACAGCGCCGGCTCACGGCATGGATGATTACAGTGTGGCTTCACAGTTTAAACTGTCTGTGGTACGTTTTATTTTGAACTGTGTCAATCTTTTGCAAATTGAGAACATCTGGACTTAAGTTATTCAGTAGGGAAAAAGTGAAAGACGGCTGAAATGACGCTGGTAAACATGCTTTGTGTCACTTTGTAACAGTGTGTATGTTTTCCCTCCACCAAAGGAGTGTATGGTGGATGAAGACGGAAAGTTCACTGAGCTGGCCGGCCCCGAGCTGCAGAATCTGACTGTGATGACGGAAGGCACGGACAAAGGTACAGAAAAATATGTCAAACCTTAACACACTATATTGACTTGGTCCACATGGATTTGTTATTGCATGTGTTAATTTTAATGTATTTGTCTGTTTCTTGTTGTGTTTATGTTAGTGATTACCATGCTGAAGGAGTGTGGCTCTCTGGTGAAGGAGGAGAAGTGTGTCCACAGCTACCCGTACGACTGGAGGACGAAGCAGCCCGTGGTCATCAGGCCCAGCAAACAGTGGTTCATCAACACAGCGTCACTCAAAGACAAGGCCAAGGTAAAGCTGGAAGACATGTTACGGTCAGAATAAAATCTCTTCCTGGTGCACAACAAGCAAAGCATTGGGCTCTTTCGGGAAGGGATGCATTTACAGTTTGTTCTTAAGAAAGACATTCGTGTGTGTGTGTGTGTGTGTGTGTGTGTGTGTGTGTAGGAGGCACTGCAGAAGGTGCGTGTTCTGCCTGAGTCAGCGAGGGGCAGCCTGCTGACCATGCTGGACAGACGGACGTACTGGTGCATCTCCAGGCAGAGGAGCTGGGGGGTCCCCATCCCTGTGTTCTACCACAGAGAGACCGGAGAGCCTCTGATCAACAAGTGAGCCCAAACACCACACACATGCAGTAGGGCTGCTCGATTATGGCAAAAATCATAATCTCGATTATTTGGGTCAATAATTGATATCACGATTATTAAAAAGGATTATCCATTTACTTTGAAAACATACATTTATTGAAAAAAACAATGTGAACAGTATGTTTTTAAAAGTTGATTACCCTGAACGTTAAGTATAATTCAACTGAAAAACCAATACAATTTTATTTTTTTTACATTTAAAAAAAAAAAAGAAAAAAGATAATCGTTTTATTTCGATTATGTTGTTTTCATAATCGTTGCACGCCAACATCGTAATTGCGATTTAAAATACGATTTAATTGAGCAGCCCTAACATGCAGACTAACTGGCTCGTGCACATGCCTGGACACACACACACATACTGCATGCACACTCACATTTCGACACATGGTCATTGCGCACACACACACACACACACACACACACACACACACACACACACACACACACACACACACACACATACACACGTGTCTTACCTCCTCAAACACACACAATATTCATTTGAAATATTGCTTTCGGGTATTTCCATTTTGGTTTTGTATTGGTATAGTTGTCACATTTTATCCGATAAATGTCATCTTGATTTTTTTTTGTATCTGGTTAAACCATGTTAAGCACTTTGTAACTTTTGATAAAAAGTCGTAGCTGTATTAATAAAGTGTATTATTATTTACAAGTGAACATTCCTCCTGTCTCTGCAGACACACAGTGACCCATATAGCTCAGCTGTTCAAAGAAAAGGGCAGCGACTGCTGGTGGGAGCTTCCTGTTGAGGATTTACTGCCAAATGAGGTGCTCAAGAAGGTGAGTGTGTGTGTGTGTGTGTGTGTGTGTGTGTGTGTGGGGTGGGGGGGGTGAAATACAGTTAGGACCGAGTTGTGATAAATAAGCCTCAGTAATACATCAAAGGAGATCCCTCTCTACTATGATAAACTATAATTATTAATGTTATTTTAAAAGGCTTTTGGTCAAGAGTAGAAAGGAATGACTTTGAGCTGTTTGAAATCAATTAAGTCAAATATAAAAATGTTTAAGATTGTTGTATTTTTGGCCACCACTCTACTGCCCAGAAGAGAAAGCAAACATCCCTGAATATATTTTGAACAAAAGAAGACTCTCATTCGGCATTAAACCTTTTGCATTTGGCTGTTGATGAAATGTGGAAATCAATAACAAATGGTCATGACCACAAGTCAAACGGAGCTCAAAGCATCTTAAAAAGACATTTATTAATTATTAATATCTTCATCAGTCGTCATCACTTTTCTGTAGGGGAGCAATGCATCTCCTTTTATTCTCTGCCTCTCCCTGTGTGTCTCTTCAGAGTAAAGCAGGTCCAGTGACTGACTACGTTCGTGGAGAAGACGTCCTGGACATCTGGTTCGACAGCGGAGCGTCATGGGCCGCAGTACTAGAAGGTACGTCTAAATCTGTCCTGCATGTTCCAGTAGATTCAGTTAATGTGATATTGTATAGCAATGTTTTCATCCTCAGAGTCAACGGGGTTGATTTAAGGGTAGCAGCAAAACGCCTTTAATCAACTCAGCTGTCATTAGTGTTATTGTCGAGAAAGCTCCTTACACTGTCCGCTGCTTAAGCTGCTTTAGAAAGCGGACTGTAAGCAGAAGCAGCGCACACATGGATTATTAGATTAGATTATAGATGCAGCCTCAGCACACCAGGGTCAGGTGTCTGCAACTGAACATTGGTAGAACAGAAGAAAATCAAATGAGTGAACACATTTACAATGCAGTGCCCGAGATATCCACCACAACTAAGTCTTTAAATCATACTTACACAAATGTGCCAGTATGTACGGAAGCCCTGAGAGGCAAGTGAGAAACTAAATGTCTAGTGAATAATTTTTTTAACCTTTGTCTTTGAAATGGTACAAAATAGAATTGTTTACATCTTGTGGCTGAAATGAGTATTACAACAATAAACACTTCAATGACAAAATAAATGTTGAAACTTTTTGTCTGCGTATTGTTACAGTGAGAAGGAAACATGTCTTTATTTTCAACCCCACAGATATAATAAAAGGAAATTATTTATTTCTTAAACACAAAAAACGAAACTGATATTTGTTTCACTTTCCTCTCGGAGCTTCCATAACTATGAAAATAAAATAAATGTGTTTATCTACAGCAGAAAGTGTTCCACTCCATCTTTTAAGGATCCATAACACATATTTCTGAAATAATTGAGATGAGAAGGTTCTTTTTCTGTCCTTGGAAATACGAGACCAAATGACTCCTTAAGGTGGCCCGTTTAAAGTTGTCTGGTGGTGTTGTTATTTCCAGAGGAGTCGGAGGGAGACTCTGAGGAGGCGGAGTCCCGTCTCAGCTGGCTCCCCGCTCGGCTCCGCAAACCTCTGGTCCCAGGTCACATGATCCCCCTCCTACAGGCCTGCAGCGCCTCCCTCCCTCCCTCCATGTCTCTGTTACACTCTGTCTCTGTTTCCCGGGCTCAGACTGCTTTTACCTGTCACTTAAGACAACTGTGGTACCTAAACACTGAAAAAGGACATTTAGTCCAACTCAGTTAATACTCTTCATGGAGCATTTGAATGTGCTGTGAAGAGTATTTATGGATAGTGGACAGCATGATTCTCCACTCCTCTGTTTCTTTGTGGCAGCTTGTTTCTTTTTCCAGGAATGGCTCAAACTCTGCACTTTGTTTTGTATGTGGATTCCTTCAGGATCAAAATGGACGTTTGCTCAAACTTGTTTCTGCCTGTGATGCACTGGCTCCCCCTAGAACCGCCCTTGCTGTGATGCCATGGCTGCAACACCTGTTTGTCAGATAACTGTTTAGATATGAGATCTTGAGTTAAAGAAATCAAAACAGGCAATTTAGGGGCGTTTTGGACATGGCATGTTTCCCTAGTCTTAAGCAACGGTCACCTTAAAGTGTGGTCTTTGCATTCCCCCCCCCCCCCCTAACACTGGCTGCTCTCTCTTGTCTTTTCTAGACATTTCTCTCCTCTGGGACAACACTTACTGTTGCATTTGTTTTAAGTAGAAGGAATAACAGATGTTCTTTCTCTCGCCCTGCAGAGTCAGACTCCAGGGCGGATGTGTATGTGGAGGGGAAGGACCAGATAGGAGGCTGGTTCCAGTCCTCGCTGCTCACCAGCGTGGCCGTCAGGAACAAGGCTCCTTACAAGTGAGTGTCCCGTCCTCTCCCTGTGGGGGGGGGGGCTGTGTCTACATGACGCTGACAAATGTACTGAAATGTAATAAAAGGACTTTGTAATGTGAATAAATGCCGAAGAATGTTCCATTGAGGCAGCCGAGGTTGAGACACTGTGGCTTTTGGCTCTAGCATGGGTCAGGCTCCAAAAAACACTAGCTTTCACAGAAGCCAATACAATAGATAAGTTATGCTACTAATGACCAATGAACTGAACTTGTGTCAAATATGCGGCAACGCCTTTTACGCCACAATTATACCGCATGTAGCAATAATCAAATTATACACATAAATACTAATTCAAAGCCACTTACATTTACACAAATGTGCTATACCGCGATGAATAGCTAATAATCACATTTTCGAAACGTTCATTTACACTAACCTAGATGAACTACATACTCAATTCTAACTCTTTTTTTGTATTTGTGTGTAGGGCTCTGGTGGTCCATGGCTTTGCTGTCACTGAGAAAGGAGACAAGATGTCCAAGTCTCTGGGGAACGTAGTGGATCCAGATAAAGTCATTAATGGAGGGGAGGTAATGGAGACTTTAACCACATCCTGATGAACTGAGCTTCATATCATTGTCATCCTTTATTGATTCACTTAAACAATAAGCCTGGTTACTTACAACCTGGTGTTTGTCCTGCACTCTTCTTCTCTCACTGTCCCTCCATCTCCAGGACCCCAGTCTGCCAGCATATGGGGCCGATGTGCTGCGCTGGTGGGTGGCCGAGTCCAACGTCTTCTCTGAGGTGCAGATTGGACCCACTGCTCTCAACTCAGCCAGAGACAGCATCAACAAGGTACCAGAGTGCGGGATGGACGCTGTATGAGTGGCTTGCGTTATTTCAATCAGGAAAGTCTTCATTTTTTGTTTAAAGAACATTTATTGACACATGCGCCATATGTTAGAAGTCTTTGCCGAATAGTCCCCAGTCCTGAAATCGTATGTATAAAAGTGAGAAATGCAGACATATAGGAACCCCCCCCCCCCCGGGGTCTAGACACTGGTGGTGATGGGATGAAGAGGAGGTGTGATGAGGTCTTTGGATTAGCTCTCCTGGCACTGGATATGATGAAAGGAGGTGGATGGGGAGGAGGTGGGCCGCAGCATGAACACCTGAAATCACAGCTGACTGCAGGAGAGAGGAGAACTATTTTAAAGTGTGGCTGCCGCACGATGATTGGCTGCTGGAGATTGAGGTGAAATGTAATAGGTTAAAGAGAACGCCAGTGATGAGCTGATTATATGCAGCTGCAGTGAATGAATATGTACCCAGTCTTCCTGAAAGAACTTGTGCTGAGCTTCATGTGTATGAGACTCATTAGAGGCTTCTCCATACTCTAATTTCCCCTCCTCGACTCCTATCCTCGACTCCTATCCTCGTGACTTAGTCCCGCCCACAGGAGATGCGAGCGGAGGAGTCGAGGAGGGGAACCGAGGAGAGAGGAGGGGAAGCAGCAGGCGGTTAGAGAAATGAGAATTCCTCTCCTCTGAGCGGTCATTTTAAAGAGACGTCCATTAATGATGACAGGAGGCACAGCAGCCCTCTGTCTGATGGACAGATGTGTTCATGACCACTTATATATTTACTTTTAATTCATTCACAGTGCGGTATAATGAGACAATAACAGGCTACAGATGCGGACATATACACACACACATATATATATATATATACAATTTAAAGTATGAGAGCACTCTCATAATAACGTAACACAATCAGAGACTGGATATATCCCCCCCCCCTCTCTGGTCGCTGAAATGGGGAATTGAAATTACGGGCCAAAAGTTGTATTAAAAGTAAGCATAGGACACCAAACCAACTGAGACCCGTCTGTCTGCCGCATTTACGCCAGGGATGAAAAGATAATCACATTGGTTACTTAAACATTTTTTTCTTAATGTTCTAAAATTGTTTGGGCCCCTCTCAGTCACGGGCCCTTAGAATCGTCCTAACTTTTCACCCCCTTACGGCGCCCCTGCACACACACACCTACACACTGTACCACACACACATCTACACACTGTACCACACACACACACACACACACACACACACACACCACACACCTACACACTGTACCACACAACACACATCTACACACTGTACCACACGCACGCACACACACCCACACACAACACACACCTACACACTGTACCACACACACACACACATCTACACACTGTATCACACACACACACACCTACACACTGTACCACACACACATCTATACACTGTACCACACACACACACCTACACACTGTACCACACACACACATCTACACACTGTACCACACACACACATCTACACACTGTACCACACACACACATCTACACACTGTACCACATACACACATTGTACCACACACACATCTACACACTGTACCACACACACATCTACACACTGTACCACACACATCTACACACTGTACCACACACACACACCTACACACTGTACCACACACACCTACAGCTCCTAAAGCATAATCAGGCTACAGCCGTTGTGTATTTTATTATGTGAAGCACTAAATGGTTTTAGAAAAATATCGACTCTTTGTTTGTAGATATCTACTAAACTACAGCATACAAATACAGAGAGTAATGTATGCCTGTTATACTGAGTGATATATATTATACACACTGCTCTGCTTTCTGCACGGACCTCACAGCTGTTCTCACTGTAAACATCGCGTCGCCGTTCAAGCAGTTACTAAAATAATATCCAGGGGATGCATGCAGAGCTGTCATTGGCTGAGATAAGTCCGGCCGTGCGTCACGCCTCCACCGTTCCCGGAAATGCATCCGTGGAGGAGCCGTGGAGGACGCATCAGTGTCTCCTCGGTTAGAGCTCCTCCAGAGAGCCTCCTCGATGCTCGATGCTCGGTCCTCGAAGTGCATTTAGAGAAATTAGATGTCCTTCATAATGGCGCGCTGAAATCCATTTCCGGGTCACTACCGGAGGACCGAGGACCGAGGAGGGGAAATAGAGTATTGAGAAGCCTTCAATGCCTTTTTGTTGTTTCTCCACCAGCTGAGGAACACTCTGAAGTTCCTGCTCGGCAACCTGCAGGGCTTCGACCCCCGCGTGCAGGCGGTGGACCCCAAAGAGATGCACTACATCGACCAGTACATGCTGCACCTGCTCCGCGAGTACAGCATCAAGGTGAGTTCAGGTGTAAAGCTTGTTGATCTCAGTCCAAAGTGCCTCAGCTGCTGACTGATATGTGTTTGTGTGCAGGTGACGGACGCCTACACTGAGTTTGATGCTGGCCGGGCCATCCGTGTCCTGCAAGGCTTCATCGCCAGAGAGCTCTCCAGCTTCTATTTCAGCATCATCAAAGACAGGTAAAGGCTCGCCACAACAGGAAACCCACAACTTGTTTAGTGTGCTAGCATTCTTCCAAATACCAAGCACTTCACAAGATTGAAAATATCCCTTTTATGTTTCTTCTAAACTCGCACATCTCTTTGTCCTGCTTTGTTCCTTGCTCCATCTTTTCGACTTTCTGCCTCTTTATTTACTATATTTTCTTAATGTTTTATGTTAATATAGTTTCTTCAAATAGTTTTCTATCTGTGTTTTAAATTGTTTAATTTGAATGAATGCACCACAACACAACGTCAAATTCCTCATGTGTGTTAACCTACCTGGCAATAAACCTGTTTCTGATTCATTTAGGTTGTACTGCGATCCCGAGGACTCGCTGGGCAGGAGATCGTGTCAGACTGTCTTAGAGGAGATTCTGGACGGAGTGACCCGATCCATCGCTCCCATCCTGCCCCACCTGGCTGAGGAGGTCTATCTGCACGCACCAGGACATGGCGGTATGTGCCAATCACAACCACAATTACGTGTTTGCTTACTAACAAGAGTATTCATTAAACCACATTTGTTTCTGCAGAAGGAGAGACATTATTTAAGAGCGGCTGGATCAAAAGCAGCTCAGTGTGGCGCCGCCCAGGATTGGAGGAGGCGGTGGAAGGGGCGTGTGCCATCAGAGACTCCTTCCTGTCTTCCATTCCGGGCAAAAACGCAGCTCAGTACGACCTCAACATCGCTGTCGAGCCCGGTCTGCTGTTTGAACTCATGGAGGTCAGTGAAATGTTGTTAGCAAGCCAATTTCTTTCATGTATATAATCAGTCTATTTTTAAGGGATAGTATAAATTCAAAGTCCTCCTCTTCACCCCCAGAGCCTGCAAGAGCATCCCAGCTCCACCTCCTCCCAGCTGGCGGAGCTGATGATGGTGGCGCGGGTCAACCTGTGCAGCGTGCTGCCCCGGGACCTGCCCTCAGACGCCCTGCTGAGCAGCGGCACCTTCCTCATCAACCTGGAGGGTGAGGACATCCACACTGAGCGGATGATTTCATGTGAATCATCGCAGGTTTTACACGTTCCATGCAGCTGGATCCTTTTGGATCAGATTGAAACCAACAGCAGCTTTTGTTCTGCACTGGTGACAGGGGCAGCTGGAGGCATAATGTTATTTTAATTGATTATGAATGGGAAACATTTTAGGTACGCTTTGAGGGAATTTCTTTACATTTTTTTGTTACAAACGTCCGCTTAGAGTAGACCATACACTTCACTGTGACTTTAAAAAAATATTTTTTTTATGGCATTCTATAATTTGACTTTTTAAATGTATGTGATTATAGCGATATGGCATACAACACAATTACCTTTTTGATGAAATATAATGGCATACGATTTTTTTGAAGGCTTTTTCAATGAAATATTTGTGAAATACTACAGTATACAATGTTTTCTTTTTTAAATGAATATTTAATGAAATACCATACTACAATTCTTTTTTTATTGAATGGTACTAGGACTTGTTTTTAAAATGCATTTTTATTATGAACAAAATGTTGACTTTTTACAACATTTGATACACTCCATAGTGGATAAGATCTACAACATTGTGTACAACACGTGATAAGCTATGCCTTTTCTGATATGTGTGTCCTCTCAGGTGGTGTTATCCGAGAGGACAGTGCCTACAAAATAGCCGCGGTGCCCACCTCTGCCGCCCGCTGCCCGCGATGCCGTCGATACACCGCCGACTCAGCAGACTGCCTGTGCCCGCGCTGCCAGAGCACCGTCTCACAGGCTCACTGACAGGCCTGTCAGCACGACGACCAGCAAACATCCTATCGACTGTTGTGTTCTCCTGCTTCGGGTGAAGTTCCTCGTTAGACAAGGTCTAACAATCGGCAGAGAAAACTGACTCCAAATCTGCATCACTTCGCTTTTCTGTCTGCTGTCAGTTATGCGAAGACACAGGACTGGCATTGCGATGGAATGGCCTGAACATCGCATAAGATCACTGTTTCAGGCTTCACTGCCTTATGCACTTACATTTGTTCCAGAGCAGCAGGTTGAGAACTCTAAAACCAAAATGACAGCCTTGGTCCCTCGCCTGGCCGTGAATGAGCTTTGTTCTTGTACCACAAATCAGTGAGCATGAGAAATGTTTACCGTTATGTACAGATGGGAATTGGAAGATATTTACATTCGCTGTAGAAGGGATGCTATTCAGTTTTTTTTTTTGAATGTGTAAATAAATGGGAAAGGAATCATTACGAGGGTCACTATGTGACAACACTTTCAATAATGGTGTGTGGAAGAAAAGTCTCTAAATGATAAATAAATGGAGTTTTATCTCTAGACATGACATGAGAGTAATGAAATGATCGGCTAATGACATTGCATTAGAAAGCTCTTTATTCTGCAATGACACAGACTACAGAATAGGAGACAAACAGGCACAGATAGTATAGTACTGTCTGTATATATAAATAAAAAATAAGGTCCATATTTCTTTATGATACATCTCTTGTCCATGGGAGGGAGAAAGGAAGAAGGAGAACTGAACTCTGATATGGCACACAGTTAGGACACCAACACTGACGTGTGATCTCTAAAGTTCCTCAGACAAACATGCCCTGTCCATTAATAACCATTCCTTAAACTTATTTTTCAGACAATAATCTTCAATAACACAATACAATTCATGTTACATGCGCGGAAAATATGATGGATTAAAAAAAAGGTTAAAAGGCTATAATATGCACTCTTAATCTTTCTTCAATTAAGTTGTGAGAACAAAGATATCTTAACATGAGCTGAGTGACGAAACACAAAATCTCCATGACAAAGAAGTTCAGAAGGCCGTTAATCATATTTTCTCGTTACCCTAAAGTGGTACAGACGTGGTTCCTTCTCTCCACCTGCCCTCGCTGACCCTGCCTTTGAAGCTGCTGCCCTCCACCTCTCGGGGTCAGCCCTCAGCAGAGAGGGCCTCCACAGCCTCCAGCAGGTGCAGGGCCAGAATGTACTGGGCGTGGTTCTCCGGCAGGATCTCAACCAGCCGGCCCACCAGCCTGCTGGTCTGGGACAGGGGGACGAGGGGGCAGCGCAGCTCACTGGGGTCCTACAGGACAAAACAACATGTTATCAATATTACGCTGGTAAACAGGCAGCAAGACCATAAGGGCAACATGGTGTGTGTTCCAATCAGGGGAAATACTATCAGTGGACAAACTCTTTGTGTTTCCCATAAAACCGTGGCATTGTGTAAAGAAACTGCTATTTAAAGGGTTAACATTCTAAAATAAATGAATATTTGCTGGTGATTTCCAGGATCATATATAAAATATTTGACTTTGTGATAATCGAAAATAATACAAATATACACTATAGACCTTTAATGGATGTCAGAGCAATTAAAAAAAGAAATAGGATGCACAAGGGTTAAAAAAGAAAATGAAAAGAATCCTGTTGAGTGAGAACACTGAATTATTTAATTTGTTTCAGTAGTCTGTTAGCTTTTGTAGCTCTGTAGCTGCAGACAGTAAGGTTGATTTGAGGATTTGTGGTCCAGTGTCCAGTCAGAAATGTCCTCAGTGTATAAGATGACATTGTCTGGTGCCTCACCATCGCCTTGATCCATGTGCAAAGGGTGGGGGGCAGGCGGGCCAGCAGCTCCATGGCGGGCTGCGTCTGACTCTGGCTGTGGAGCAGACAGTAGCTCAGCCTCTGTCCCGTCAGCACCAGCAGCTGGGAGCCCAGCACGTCCTTATCCTCCACCTCCAGCATCACCTGGGGGGGGTAAGAGGAATCAGAGCAGGATACTGGACTGAATCAAGCCCTGTGGTCAGGAGAATAGTTTGTTGTTAGTGTGTGCCTGCCACAAAGGAAAGCACATGTTCCCTTGCCTCCTCAGCGCGGGGGTCCAGGCCCTGGCTGTAGAGCTCACAGACCAGGTGTCTCCTCAGGATGTCGGGGTTGACCTGCAGCAGGGAGCCCAGCTCCAGACACAGCGAGGGCCACCAGTCAGCCTTGGGGCTATTTGAGGGGGGAGAGGGGGACGTGTTGCCGGAGGCTGGGATGGACGGATCGTTGATAGCCTGCACCCAGGCCGTCAGCACCCGGAGGAGGAACTGAACACAGGAGGAAGGAGGGAAACGTAGATGAGAGGACGGGTACGGAGAGGGAAGAAGAGACGGAAGCAGATGAGGAAAAATCCTTTGTTTTAAGATCTTCTTTTTCTGTTGACCCGTCGTTGTAACACCAGCTCTCACCTCTTGTCTTATTGACACCAGGCCGGGGTCCATGTCTCCGCTGGGCATCAGCTGGATGGTGGTCAGATCTCTGAAGAAAGCATTCTTACCCTGAGAAAGCAGACACAGACATGTTGGTGCACAAATAACTCAATACAATAGGGTTTAGTTTTTGTAATAACAACCAAAGGAGAGTGTTCTTTATACTATTTCCCTTTGGTTACTTATAACAGGTAGCAAAGTTAACAAACGACACTTAACCAATGCTAGGATCACAATCTTAAAAAGAATACAATATTAAACTAAGTATTGAATTCAAAGTCCCTGGTGACTTTTTTGTATTGTATAAGTGTAAACATTCAATAGCCCAAATAAGGAGTGCCATGTTACAAAATAAGAAACCTACATTTAAAAACTTAATTTACCTTGTTTTCTGACACAATAAAAAGTTTAAATGAGTTAATAAAGAAATTACTGTTAGTTTAACTCATTACTGTTATATTGAAAACAGTTTCTGTATGCTGTCAATTTGAGTTCTTAGAAAGGAAAAAAAGAAATGAATCGGATCTCTCAGGTCTGACTATCGTTAGACGAAATGTAAATGTGTGTATAATCTAATCCTTCTCTAATCATGAGTATATGTGTGTCCGCAGTCTCCTCACCTTGCTGTCAAACAGGCTGAGAGGTTTGACCTTCAGGCTAAAGGTCATAGCAGCATGTAGCAGGGAGGCGACCAGGCAGTGGTGCTGCACCAGAGGGTAGTGGACGCCCCTCTGCTCCAGGGCCATCTCAGCCAGAGACGCCGGGCCCTCTGCCCCGCACCACGCCTCCTCCATGGACAGCTCCGGGGCCGAGACCTCCTCCACAGCAGAGTCCGCCTGCGGGGAAACGCAACAGAGGAGGTGATGATGAGAAAGGCGTGTGGGTTAGTAAACAACATATGGTTAATTAACATTGTTACCCCACATATTTAAAGTGCAGAATACACACATGCACAAATGTAAAGCCCTCAAAAAGTGTGCTTTTCTCATTTTCCTGGCACTGTTGGGTTTGAGATTCACTGAGCAGGATCCTGCTATTTGACACCCGAAGGCCATTTATCCATTTCATCTGCTGAAGGCTTCTCTGAGCTTCATGAAAGTGAGTTTAATACGAGCAGGATTTGTGACATGCAAGCCAATCACGAGTAAGTTGCATACTGACTCGTGGTGTGATGTGGAAACTCGTAACCTGCAGTTGATTGAAGGGTCACTACAGGCCCATTTATTAAGTTTGGGATATTTTGTTTCTATAACAAGTCCAATGTTAGGCTATTGAAAAGACACATCAGTAATACAGATAGAAATAAACTGAGGGAAGTTTCATGGTGATATCAGATATACTGTTTTACCCTACTGACCTGTAGTGTCTCTCCTTTACTTTTGATTTTTTTAACAAGGTGATTGAACTATTTTGTGAAGAAACCATATCAGACACCAATTCTAATTGCAAGCAGCATGCTACATCACATGTGTATCAAGTACAGATGTGGTTAGTAGGGCTAGTGGTTTCTCCATGCTTTTTACAGGAATGTCTTTACTTACAGGGTCATCTATAAAAGACAAAGGGCTCGTATTTTTAACCAATACTCCAGTCACCTCCATGAGGATCTGCAGCAGCTGCACACAACAGCCCAGGAAAGAAGTCACGGCTTTGTCTCCCATCCCGATGTCCTGCACAAACGAATACATGTCCTTAATATGGCATCCTAATAACATCATTATACAATCAGAAATAACTTCAATTCAAATGTATTTACCCGTCGACATAAGCGATCTTTGGGTGCTTTCCCCACCTAGGAACAAGAAGTGTGAACATCTCATTTAGTGCCTCTCAGACTCGAAAACACATAGGCATAGTATGTGTGTGTGTGACTTACCTTCTCCATGAGGTAGGCTGCTGCTGAGAAGCGCTTCACAATGAACGTGCTCCACATCATCGCAGAAATACCTGAGAGGAAAATCCAACGACACAGTAGAGACCGTCACTTTCAGAAGGTACTGATTTGAGGGGACATTGATATATTCTGCTGCTGTATTATTTTCACTCTGAGGATATATTTGAGTTGTTATTTAATGCATACCTAAAGAGCAGTTCACCGTTTACCTAATGGATTTGACATAATATTATTAGATAGATTTGAAAAACTATTATATTAAATGATTGGTAAAGAAAAGCCTCTCACCTAGCTGGATATGTGGACTGGAGACCAGCTTCAAATGTTCCACAGCACACCATAAATATTGGCCCTCCTACGAAGAGAATCAGGAGTCAGTCCAGATGTATTCATTACATTCATAATAGTTTTCTTTACAGATAACTTCAAACTTAAGAACAAACTAGAAAATGCATTTCCTGCTGAAAATGCGTGTGAATGCTGTAAACTGTACATTTGTTGCTGAATTTAGCTGAAAAAGCTGAATATTTTACAAAAACCAAGTAAGTGTGTTGCTGAACTTAGCGGAGAAATGCAGAAAAGTGAAATGATTTGAATCAAAATTGTTACAGCTCAAATGCATTGCAATGACTTTGTTGAAAACTTGAAAGTGAAATGTTAAACTGGAAGAGTAGGAAAAATAGTGAAGAAGCTTAATATTTAAAAGAAAAGGTTTTTAAAAAAAAAGAAGGTATAAACAACAAAATGTATAGCCTCAATGTCCTGAAATAGCTGAATCATTTAATAGTTTAATGGTTTCTGTAGCTGAAAGTAGGCAGAAGGAGTTAAATATTAAATGTAAGTAGTAGTGAATTAATTTTATCAAACACCTGTGTACGTGAGCCCAGAGATCAAAGGTTTCCATGGAGATGTGCTGTGAAAGGACAGCCTTTCCATTGTTCTGAACTATAGTTAAAAAATGGTAGCTGCTTTCGGTAAAATGTCAACGCGTGGAGGATGTCAGGACCGTGAGGAGCGTCGGAATCTGCTTTTTGTGCACTTTCTGGTCAATAATGTGGCATTTTTACTAAAAGGTGTGCAGCTG